CCACTGTCCCCTTCAAGGCAGGAGCAACCATCCTGTTATCTCAGGGAGGTATTTACTGCACAAGCTGAAAGGTATCCCACAGAAGGAGGAGAAGGAGTTGGATTTATACCCTACCCTTCACTCAGAGTTTCAGAGCCTCAGAGTAGCTTACAATCTCCTTCCCTTTCTCTCCCCACAACAAACACCCTGTGAGGCAGGTGGGGCTGAGAGAGAACTGCTCTTGAGAGAACTGTGACTCACTCAAGGTCACTGAGCTGGCTGCATGTGGAGGAGTGGTTCTCCAGATTAGAGTCCACCACTCTTAACAACTACACCAAACTAGACCAACTGGCATCCTGGGGCCATCTGATGCAGCTGCTGCAAAATGCAGAGTCCAAATTGGAATGGATGTGAAAGATTTTATCCACAAAGTGCTCAGTAAAAAGGTCACTGTAGGCTGCAGAACAGTCCATTTCATCCCATTAGCCAAAACCAAATGGACCTCTGACCACCCAGAAGAGTCCGGCAGGTCTACCCTATATAAATGTAATGGTGAAGAAAAAGTATTGTTTCTTTGTCCCCATCACTGACAAAGAGTAAGTTTTCAAATGAGCTCTAGCCCATGCCTTTTCAGATTCATCCTGAGTCTTGCTTCACTTTCACTTGCGAATCCCCCTATCTTTTCATCACCCACAGCCCCTCAGTATATCAAGGGGCTGCCTGGGCTATTTGACCTGACAGAAGACACCTAGGTGTAATAGTGTCAATTGCCCAAGCCATTTACCCATTCCAGAGGTCAACCAGGGCATTAATGTGAGCACTGAGCAGGAAAATTCCCCAATGTTGTCTGAAAACCTATTGGATCAATCAGGCAATGTGTGTGGAACATTTTAATCAATATCCCAGCCCTGTGAAGTTTTGGTACCTCTGTAATAAGTCTGAACCCCAGGAAGTAGTAATCTGTCCATGACAAGAGGACCTTCTTCACTTAAATTGTCTTCATACTGCCCCCCCCAAAAAAACAGATCAAGAGTATGACCTGCACAGAGTATGGAGCCTGTTATTACCTGAAATAGGCTCATAGTTGTCATGGAGACTATGAAATCCTGTGCTGCTCCAAACAACGTAGCCTCAGCATGGATGCTGAAGTCCCCCAAGACAACCAATTTAAGAGTCCACAGCACCACATCCAAGACCACAACCACAAGCTCAGGCAGGAAGACAGCTGGGCAGGGGGCTGTGCTACACCAACAGAATTCCAATCCTTTCTCACACTCCCACCACTAGATGCACACTCTCAAACGCAGGAGAGTTTTAAAGGGTATCAAGACAGGGGGATACAATCCCAGGAGACTACAGTGACATCAACTCCCTGCCCACCAGGCCTATGCTGGTATACCACTAGTACCCTGGGGGTCATAGTTGGGAAAGATTAACACCCCCTCTCCCCACCAGATCTCAGTGATACATGCCAGAATTAAATCGTGGAGACTGCCACTTTACTGACCTGGCATTTAAAAGCAAAATATTACTGCCCAGTGGAATGTTGTTATGGTCACCAGCATCACCCTGGTCACAAATTGTTCTCTTTCAAAGGACAACTACTGCTACTCAAAACTCTTTGAAAGTAAAAAGAGAATGGTGGTTGAATGTAGACATTTCATGTTTTCATGGGGAGATTCTGCTATGCTGGAAGTTTGGAGCGAACATATTTTGACTTTACAACCTCAAAAATAAATGCCTGAATCAATCAGCAAGTGAAATAAGTCAGTGATTTTCTCCTTTAAAACCCTTACTTGAAACATAGGACTTGCTGCTATCCATACTCTCTATATCTATGCTGCCTAAGCCCAATAGAAGATACTTTGAGATAGAAAGGAAGGAATCTCTGCATATTTGAATGGTCCCCAGTTCCTCAGGATCTTTGAAATTTGAGTATTAAAATACATTGTGGATGTCCCGAGATGGATGCTCTGCATATCTTTCTGAATCAATTATGTCATAGCTGTCATGGCTGCCCATATCTGTTATCCATCCATAGGTAATCTGTTGTTATACTGCTCTATGGGGGACGGGATTAATGTCAGCTTCTACTCATACACATCTAAAGAGCTTGCAAATGTGTTGCTTTTGTCCCCAAAGGCATATAAAATGTACAGTATTGCTGGCCAGGCTTCTTTAAGCATCTCCTTGTAATAAAGCTATTTCTTCTTCAGGAAGTTGGTATCATAAAAGATTATACCCTCTCTTCATGGCAAACAGGAGCTTGTGTGTGATAATGAAATAATGAGAGTGATGAGGAGCCAAAAGTTCACACATCTGTAACAGCATTAGATAAGACTGCAAATGGCTTGGAAAATGATTCAATATTTATAAGTTACGTCTTACACATATAGTATTTTGCATTGGATATAAATTATATTTTAAACTAAACATGCAAAAAAATCTGGGAAGAAGAATTATAATTGCTTGTCTATTCTGTTTTCTGTGTTGTTTGATGCTGCTTAATACTCTTAAGGAAAACATTTTCTAGATGCCTGGTCCTGGAATTGGGGATAACTACCTACACCAGGTGTTCTTTTCTAGCAAAAAGGTTTAGTGGCTGTAACATTTTGCTGTTTTAGGACATTGTCACTGACAGTCTTTTGGATGCTATCCACAAAGGAAAATTACGTTTTATTTATGATTAATTTCCCCCAGAAAAAAATGGATTGAAAAACAGATAACTTTCTCTCAACCCATTATATTGTGTTGACTTGGAACATCGTTATCATCTGACTTTGTTGGATGCTATCCCTACCATTGGGCCGACTTGAATACCGCCATCATTTGCTGTTTTTATCTATTGATGTTGTTAACTGGGATGTTGTTTTTAACTGTCTTAATTTTGGATTGTGATATTTTGTTCTTGTTAGCCGCCTTGAGCCAGCGTGTCCAGCAAGGCGGGATACAAATAGAAACAATAAATAAATAAATAAATAAATTGGGGTAAAATGTTACCCCATCTAAGTCTTCGTAATTTGTTCTGATACTTATATAGAATTTTACTTCATACTTTTATGAAGATGTGTTATCCGGAAAGACTTTGTGATAGATAAGAGCTACATACAGCCACTCATGAACTAATATACTGATTGTTGGATATTTTGAATAGAAGAAAACACCACAAACTGAGGTTTGACAAAGACTTTTGTCGAAACGGACAGTTAAAACTCGAGAAAGTTCGTCCTTGCTTGCCTTACTGGGACTTCAGTCTCCTGATGTTCATCTATTGAAACAAAGAATATCTATTAAAACAATATTATTGAACTGCAAGAAATATGAACTTGTACAGCAATCTTCTGTTTTTGTGTACTGTTTAAAATTGCTGGGTCCTTGTTGTATTCATGACATAGAAAGGCTACAGATTAGAGTTTCATCCCCCTCACTAGTGTAGGCTAATGAATCAAGCCATGCTTTTTCATTAAGTTTTGACTGTGCTTAATGCCAGCTTTGCTCCCTGCTGCTTCGGGGGGGGGGGGGGGGGGGGGGGGGGGGGGGGGGGGGGGGGGGGGGGGGGGGGGGGGGGGGGGGGGGGGGGGGGGGGGGGGGGGGGGGGGGGGG